TTGTCACGCAATTCTGACTTTATAACTTGGCACTGTGAGATTAGCCCAAATTGCGCAAGTCTGAGAAAAATGAATTGTGAGGTGAAAATTCGCAATTGCGTGGAAAAATGTGAGAAATTACCTATTTAATTTGTTTATGTAGTGGTGAAAACAAACTTTCAATAACGGGTAAGCGGGTGTCTTCTCGGAAACGTTTTTAAAGTTATCCACGAATTTACTAATTTATGCCCCATGAAGCCTTTCGCGAGCTATGAGTTATTTAAAAAAAAAAACTGGGTTAGTTGAGATGATCTTCATCTATTCACCCTTTATTCATCGAACATTACAATGCTCTTTAAGTGTAAAACATTAACAAAGTAATTCCACAGCAATAGTATGGAAAAATCCCAAAAGGGTCTGGCTGCAAACTTGCACTCAGTGTTGCCTACTTTCAATTGAAAGTAGCTAAAACTGGTAGCTAAATGTCACTAGATGACATCACAATGGCAAATTCACTGATTTATATAAAGATGAACGTAGATCAGTGGGCAAGATGAGAACTTAGATAAGGTTTGTCCAAGCAGTTGTTATATTTGTCCCTAAAATTTTGAAAAAAGTCTCAAAAGGGGCGGGGAAGTCGCTAAATCTAGCTACAAAGTAGCTAAATTGGCAACACTGCAGTTGCACTTGCACTCTCGGAAATTTGCACTTGCACTCTCAGACACTTGCACTCTCAGACACTTGCACTCTCAGACACTTGCACTCTCAGACACTTGCACTTTGCCCTCTCCGCACTCTCAGACACTTGCACTCTCAGACACTTGCACTCTCAGACACTTGCACTCTCAGACACTTGCACTCTCAGACACTTGCACTCTCAGACACTTGCACTTTGCACTCTCAGACACTTGCACTTTGCACTCTCAGACACTTGCACTTTGCACTCTCAGACACTTGCACTTTGCACTCTCAGACACTTGCACTTTGCACTCTCAGACACTTGCACTTTGCACTCTCAGACACTTGCACTTTGCACTCTCAGACACTTGCACTTTGCACTCTCAGACACTTGCACTTTGCACTCTCAGACACTTGCACTTTGCACTCTCAGACACTTGCACTTTGCACTCTCAGACACTTGCACTTTGCACTCTCAGACACTTGCACTTTGCACTCTCAGACACTTGCACTTGCCCTCTCAGACACTTGCCCTCTCAGACACTTGCACTTTGCACTCTCAGACACTTGCACTTGCCCTCTCAGACACTTGCCCTCTCAGACACTTGCACTCTCAGACAATTGCACTTGCACTCGTCACCTGCGACGTCACTTGCAAGCGACACAAATTATGCATGTTGCCAATGGAGACGAAGCTGTGGTGCTTAAACGATTAATTAATTCAGTACCGTAACCTACAGGGTCCTGCAAGCCATCTGTAAGAGAAAAAGACAAGACCCGCAAATCCGTGGCCACAGAACAGCAGAAAATGAACGCAATGCGCAAAGTCTCTCGTTAAGCGTTTTCCTCCTGTAGAAAAAC